CCTCAAAACAACTAGCATCCTAAAATTGCCACATTCATCGGTACCTTAGTACATAAAAAAAGAAAATACTGTACTAAGCAGCAAACACGAAACGTGCACATGAGAAGGCGACAATCCTAGCCGCAGATTTGCGCATCTAGATGAGCAACGCGTTATTCATAAATATTAAAAAAACAATCTTTTGCACGCGCGTCCCAATTTGCCATCAGGAACGGCAAATGCGCCTCGAAGGCGCGACCCGACGGATCAGAGGCAAGCCGCAAGCGAGAGACGGCCAGGCGTGCCAAGAGAAACCTCCGCATTCCCCGAGCAGGAGGCGGGCGGCGGGGGCGTACCGTGCTGGCGTCGGGGTCCAGGCAGGTCTGGGAGCTCTTGGAGTCGGACACCGCGCGCGGGGAGAAGACGAACGGCCGGCTCCGCGACGCGGGCGTGGAGACGGACACCCCGCGGCTGCGCCGGCAGTGGCTCGGGTGCGCGCGGAGGAGTCGGAGTGAGGAGTCGCCGGAGGTGGACGGGGAGGGCGCGGCGCCTTGGTGTCGCGGTGGGATCAGGGTCCTGGACGACGGGGAGGCTATGGCGGTCATCGCCATTGCTCCTGCGGTGAGGAAGGACGAGGACCCGCGTGGCGGAGCTCACGGGGAGTCTGTAGTGAGGCGGCTATCTCCGACGACATCACCCAAAATATAATAATCCAGCATCTTCTTCAACAGACTCACAAAAAATCCTTTCTATATAAATAAGATTTTAAAGAGAGAATGTCTATATTTAAATTATGTCTCTCAGACATCTCAAAATAGATGTTACTTTGTTAGAGACTAATTTTAAATATCTAATTATCCATTTTAGATTTGAATGCTCATACATATTTGTTGTCGGAGACAGTCTCACACACCGTCTGATCTCTGATAGGGAGTGGTGGTCAGACTGCTCGTGTGGCTGTGCAATTTTAACTCAGGCTGTATTTAGTTCATGAATTTAGATACTATATTTTCGTTTTTATTTAGTAATTAGTGTTCAATCATAGATTAATTAGATTTAAAATGTTCGTCTCGTAATTTTCAACCAAATTGTGTAATAATTTTTTTTTCTCTCTACATTTAATACTCCATGCACGTATCGCAAGATTCAATGTGATGACTACTGTAGCACTTTGTGGAAAATTTTTGAGAACTAAAAAAGAAGGCTTCATCCTACGGGATCTTTTTATTTTTTTAATGTTTTTCTTTTTCCTAGAAGCAGAGAGAGAGACAGAGACCGGAAGGGCCTTAATCGTGGCAAATGATCTCGGCTGACATCGAGGACAAGGGATTCTAGTTGCCTAGTTCTTGCCTTGATTTTGATGGCATGTGCAAGAGAAAGGCCCTGTTTACATAAGTTTATAATCAGATTATGGATCTCCAGCCGCAAAAAGTCATAAATAATCGTGCAAAAGTGTTTTGCGTTTTCTAACGTTCTCAGGACTGCTCGTGACTCACCCACCATGAGATTAAATTGGGAGCCCCGATCTCATGCACCGCAGCTCCGCTGCCGCACCACGCGATCGCGAAACGCGTAACCAAATAGGGACAGAAAGATCATGTACCCACAACTGAGAATTAGAAAAGGTTATTAGGAGAATATGAGTTCCTAGCTTGTTGTGGTACTAGATTAGCTTATCATATCTAAAAAACAATGATTAATTTGAAGCTACTAGCTCATTATTATTAATAACAGAGATAAATAAAAAGAGAACTTACATCATTGACTTTAGGATTGCGGTATGTATCCTTGGATGAGGAATCATTTGCAACAGCTTTGTCACGCTTTGAAATTGGTTGCTCGGTGGTAGCATTCGATGGAGGGAAGGCTTTAGATGCCAAAGCCATGTCCATGGTTGCAACTGAAGAATTAAGATCTTAAGACGTAAGTTTAATGGGAATATAGAATGGAAATTGGAGGAATGTTTTGTGTATCCATTGAGGTGTCTTCTGCAATTTATACACAAGAGCTAATCGTACACGTGTACATAAAAAGATTCCATTTCTTTGCTTGACGGGAGAAGTTTGTTGATGGAAAGGTGTAACAAGCTATAGCATGTGTTCTTTATATCAATAACTTTTAGGTAATGGCGTGGTTTTAAAGCGTGATATTTTGTCATATTAAGTGCAACCTTTCGTCTGTTAAGCTACAATACTATTCCTTGACGTGAAGAAACAAGTTTGTTTTGAAAAATTGTAGCATATTATGCAAGTTTATAGCTGTATGGCTTGTTCCAACGCATGATACGACATTGGAAAAGGTTGCATTATTGGTTTCCACACCATGAGGTTGTAGTAGTACACTCCACGGTAAGTATAAGGACAAATATAAGTGTGTTGTAATGTTATGGTACAAGCTGTGTCACTATGTAAGACAATAAACAATGCATGATTGTTGTTAAGAAATCTATGCTAGAAAAGATGGTTTTATGCTTTTAAGCGGTTGCACTTCACATGCAGAAGAGTGAAAGCCATAGCAAACCATTTGGCGGCATAAGATTACGTAAAATGGAAAAATGTATTAAAACCATGATATATGGAGTTGATCATGTGACACAAGAGAAGTTGTACAAGATAACTATTTTTTATTTCTTAATTTTAGTTATGAATCTCTCTATGTGTAAAATTCTATCCTTAGTAAAACATTTATGAGTCCCTTTGTATGTAAGACAACCAACAAACCTGAAGCTCGAGATGAATGCAAGAAAAAAAGAATGACCTTTTCGCTCGACGAATCATAGTTAAATTCTATGTTTCTATAACATCTAATCATTGCATGATTAACAAGATACATATTGACATCTAAAGTAGGTACTATTTAACTATGTGAACAAGAACCATAAAAATTATTATGTAACTTATTATCACAATGAATAAACAATGCAAGTCATCTTCCAGAATAAATATGTAAGCATTTTGCTACGGTGCTTCAAAGAAACTGTTGACCATCATTTAAATACTAATAATCACATATTATCTCCTAGAAGGTAATAAGAGAAATATAGTATAAATAGGGAAAACATCTTCCTACTGATGCATGATCTAACTTTTCTATTTGATGTAAATTCACATGTAGATGAGATCTGTAAAATGAAAAATCAAACATGATTTACTTCTAATATATTCTTTTATTGTGAAAATATTAATGTGATCTATAATGATTTTTTGAAATGACTAGCTAGATCACTTTTGACAACAACATGTTAATTGCTTATGATGACTTACTTGTCCCACTGATCACGTTAGATCACTTTTAACGCCAATGTCATGCTAAAAACTGATTTTCTTGCATACTCAACCATACAGCACGTATATACTTAAACCTACGTGATCTAAAGTTTCTATTTTTCTTAGAAAAGTAATAATTATATCATGTGTACATCAACACCTGTAGCCCTCTTTGCATAATTGCATGTCGTCACACATCTCCTTGCGCGCTGCCCATTACTTCCGTTGCTCACGTAATTTGTATTAATTCTAATAAACATCAAGGGGATATGTTACAATGTATATATTACTCTACAGATGTTTTGATTTTTCTAAATATATTGATTTTACTATATATCTAAAAATAGTATATATATATATAAGTATATATATAGCAAAAGTTATATATCTAAGTTAGAATGGAAGGAGTACATGTTTAGAAGTCATCGTCTGCATTGCCAATATGTGTTCAACATGACTGAGGCTCCGATCCCAGTGACCTTGAATGCCCACTCGGGCTTTGCCGCCGACACATGCTGTGGTCTATCGCACCCTCGTACCCTACTAGAAAGTCACGGCTCAGGGCTCACGTGTCAAAAGGGATAACAGACGTGGCACGCCACCACTCGCAGAACCGTAGATTTGCTGCCCCCGTGAGGCCGTGATTGGGACTTGGGAGAGGGGGCCCACCACCGGAGGCAGGACAAGAGAGTCTCCGTGACATGGACGGTGGAGAGACGCCGAGAAACCAGATGCCGCCGCCTGTTCTTTGGCTTGGTGTGTCCGAGGAATATGCTCGTGGTGCAGAACATGAAGGATTGTCATTGTCTCTAACATGATATTTAATTTTTGTCTCATCTTAGAGCAGATTTGGAATGCACTGCATATTGTTAGAGCAGATTTAATGGCCACTCAAAAGAAGCATTGGAGGATATGCAATTGTTAACCGCTTTTTAATGACATGATGATTTTTCAATGTTTCTTCCGTCTCAAAAAATGATCAAGCTATACTCCTATCCAGAAGTTTACACAAATCTACTGGAGTGCTCCTTTTGCCAGAGAGTCAGTTATACGCTGATCTTCAACCTTGCAACTTGCTAGTTGTTGGGAACTTGTAGTAGGTCTTTGACAGCATGATTATGTCTCTTGATCTATAGAATCAGCAGCCCCTATCCTCCAATCTGGATTTAACATTTGTTCCGCCTTTGTGAATGACAGCCAATTGCTCTGAACATTAATACCAAAGATTCTACTCATACCGCCGATCACCCATATTCTCAAACAATGGCCACCATTTGAATGCAGTCCATTAACTGGACCGCTGTTGATGGCAAATGTCAAACAAGGCGCTTCTCAGAGCTACTGTGAACCAATCCAGCCACAGCCCAGTAAAGCTGCTTACCACAAGATACTAATACCAGAAAAAGAAACACCGTGGTGACCTTGAAATTTTTCTGATAAATACTCCATGTTCATCTCTGCGCTAAGATCACACAAAAGCATTACCGAGTACGGTTCTATACAATCAGTTCTTTCCAATTCCACAGGTGACCAATCTGTTGAGCTACACAAGCCTACCAAAATCGCATAGCACATCCTTTCCCCTAGATTAGAACTCTAGAGTAAACACTAGTAGTCTAGTACACTACACAGCCACAGCCACGTACAACTGCAACATATATATTATACTTCACAGTTCAAGCAGCAAATCCAAGTCACATGACAGATTTCTTCTCTTCGGATAGTCAAAATAGGTACCAGTACCACCACCCTAGTTTAACCACGAGTCTTGGCCCTCTTCATGCCCATGTTGTGGAACGGGGAGACCGACCCAGACTTTTGTGAGCTGTCATCTCTGAGGGTGCCGTTTAGCATGGCAAGTTCTCGAAGCTGCTGCTTCTTGAAAAAGTCCATCGACTCATCCTAGCAATATTTGAACATATATAGATTATATAAACCCAAGACCACAATATGTTGACAACGTGGTTGAAAATGAAACTAGAACTGAAAATGGAAAATTCACAAAAAAGAAGGCACAGGTGTCCTACCACAGGTTTCAGCATGTCATCAAGAATTTCTCGGGCTTGCATAAGACGGATATCAACAATTTCAGCTGGCAGCTCAGCTTCAATCACAAGGTGGAGAGGCTCATTAAGGTGTTCATATCCTGGTTTTCCCCTCATTACTTCTTCCTGCAAGTTTTGAAGGCAGTAACATGCAGTGACCTCAACAGTCAAATAAAATAAAACAGGCAGTATAACAACAGTAGCTGGACAAGGTACACAACACTGGACATTCCTGAAGCATGAGCTAAACAAATAAATCAAAACATAAAAGTAAGTTACTAAGGTAAAACTAATACCCAAGGACTTGGCACATACACCTGTTCCTATACAGTATACATCAAGTTTGTAGGCAAATGCGATATTAGCTTGCTCTATTTGGATGTGGTCAGTAAGGATGCCAGTTTTGGTCATATCCATTGCTCCCTTTGTTCCAAATTATAGTTCACTTTGGTTTTGTCGTAAGTCAAACTACCCTAACTTGGGCCAAGTTTCTAGAAAAATATATTAACATCTACAAATCCAAATAAACACACAATCAAAATATATCTCATGGAGAATTTAGTAAATCTAATTTGATGTTTTAGATGTTGGTGCATTTTTCTATAAATTTGGTCAACGTTAGAGAAGTTTGAGTTAGGACAAAGACAAAACAAACTATAATTTGGAACGGAGGGTGTAATAATGTAACTATCCATAGGATAAAACAACACATAGATGGACCACCCAAATTAAGATACTATGACGACTGAGCAAGTCTTTCCCCAAAGTGGCTAAAAATGGTGAATTTGTGACAAGGAAACAACACGGTGCATAATGACTCAAGAATTTACAATTGGAATATTAGCAGTGGCACTAATCTAAAATGTCACAAGCAGAAGTCATAAACCAAGGTGAAACCTACCTTAGCAGCGTCCTTTATGCTGCCGCGGCCTCTAATCAGGACACGACAGTCGGTGTTTGCCTCAACCCGCTTAAGGGAATTTCCCCTTGGACCAAGTAGTCGCCCCACAAAGTTGAACTGTAAAGCACAATGCCACACTCATGCAAAATTCATCTGCAGTGAACAACAAAGGAGCTAAGATATGGAAGAAACTTCTTACATTAGGGTATTTCTCCACAGGAATGTCCATTCTCATTGTTTTCTTCACAATAAATCCTGAGGTGCCCTGTGGGTTGAGCCAACTTCTAGATGGAGGATGGAACATGCTTGCTCCCTGAAATATAAAACAAAATTTGGCCCCAAGAAAATCAACTACTTGAAAACAAGAACATTCTAGCTTAACTTGATGCAGAATCCCCAATTCAAGAGCTGGCAAGAAATATGTGTGCACTGTAATCTCACCAGTTATGTCAAATTCATTTTCATATCCAGCAAAATGCCCAAATCTAAGTTGAAATTGTACTTAAATCATCAATACTTGAGCAGCTTTACACTTTAATGCCGAAATTCCAACTTATGGAAATTATTTAATGAACTGGAGTACATTTTGTAATGAGAACATAGCTAATCATTTAGTCATTATACACTGCAAATTACAATTCCAAATAATCTACCACAGACATTTCCATCTTTAACTTGGCTAGATTTCACCAGTGGTTGCATAAGACACACCATTCCTAAAAAACTAAGTTATTCCTCTAAATTTATGATACACGTGCAGTCAGTAGGTTTGAAAATTTTGTGTGGCTTTTTGAGAAGTTAATACGCAACCAGTCATCAACTTCAGAGGTGGGATAAGAATTTATCCTATAGGCTACAGCACTTTATTATCAATTGCCTGGTGTACAAAAAAATATTGCAGGGTATTCAGCACTGATAAACATCAACAGCAAGATACAAGCCGTTAGTTCATTTAGATATTTCACATTCACCACAACTCATAAGAATAAATAGCAATAGTTACGTCAGTGGTCAGTAATCATACTTCAGATGGAATTGCTGGCGCCCAACCATTCATTTCAACAGGCCTTCCATTTGGTATTGCTCCTCCATTTATAAGGGGGCTACCATGCTGATAGCCAGGTTGATCTAAAACAGGAATCCCCAAGAGTGCAGATACATGCAATATTTCTGCTCACAGTTTGGAATACCAAGCATAACAGGTACCAATAAGTTAGCATTACGCATGGAAGCTGAAGAGTCAGAAGTTGACGGATAAGCACATCAACTTAAATTCAACATTTTTAAAGTCCATTCAAACTACTGTAGTCACGAGCACACATAAATTTTCAGAGCAGCATTGGCTGTACATGCCAGGATTAGCATCAGCTACCCAGAAGCAATCAAAGCACAGCACTATTGCCTCAGGAAACTAAAGCAGGGTCAGCTTCCACTACTGCTGAGTCATGGCTCTACGACCCAAGTCTTAACCTTCCACAATCAACAATTTGGAATTTATTCAAATCCAACGTAATGGCTATGCATTCAAACAAAGGAAAATCAAGGAAATAATTGAAAAAAAGAGGAACTGGTTAAATAACAGTAACAACCATACAAAGATGTTAGGAGCCCTTCTCTACGTATCTATAACTATATTTATCTCTCCGTTGTGTACCACAGTAAGTAGCTACTCTTTTGTGAAGTTGCTTCCATTATATAAACTAATGTTTAGCCTATGTCCAGTTTGGTTCAGTTTAGTCCTCTCAACTATTTCAGTTGGTCCAGTTTACCCCTTAACAAGATTGTTATTTTTGTTTCTCCCCGTTCAAGTTGATTTTAAATTTTAAATTTTATGAGGTGATAGCTGACACCATAATTTATGTTAATTTTTATCATTATTTTGACAAGTTAGGACACCTAATAATATATTAATACTAGAAATACAAATTTGTATGAAACATAATAATGGAAAGTTCATAATGTTTTAGAAAAAAAAAATTATGATGTCTATTGTCACCTCACAAAATTTGAAATTTAATAAACTCACACATAGAGAAACAAAATAAAATAAATTTTGTTATTGGGCAAATAGGACCAACTGAAATAGTTGTATGGGCAGTGGGGGTGGGGGGAGTATATCGAACCGACATGTTAGTTTAAGGGGTTATCCAGACAGACGAAACTTGAAGGGAGTAATTTGATTTTTTTTCCCTTATATGAAGTTGGGATGGGAAGAAAACGTCAAATATCCTACACAACTGTAGCATCAGATTTATAATGTGCAAGAAAATTGGAACCCTGGTACTTGCCAAGTTGCCAGGTGCATCAATAGTCAAGCTACAACCAGTTTGCACTCACAGAAGATGGAACCACACTCTAATGTGGATTTCTGCAAATTTAGTTCATTTACACCCATTATAGATCCACCACTGGATATTTCCAGATTTAAAAATTCTACTTGTACGTCATGCCAAATCATACAAATCAATAAAGTTTGCACAATAAACAAATGAACACATATGCACAGAAATGTTAACAAGTGTGCATGGTTTGGCACATGCACAACTGCGCATGTAGAATTTTGAGGATTCTTTTAAGTGAGGAAGTGCATAATGGTTGTGAATGAACTTTCAGTTCACAAAAGAATTTCAAGCTGTTCTTTCTATCTACAACTCGGATTTTAGAATTTTAGGTATATATTTGTATGTCTGCAGTGATTCTATGAAATTAGACCAACAGCACACAGGAGAAAAATATTTGCATAATTATTTGTATGTCTCCAGTAATTGCTCACTTAGGAAAATAACCATGCCTCTTTCCAGGTAGACAAGAAACTAAATTTAGTGGATGTGTTACTAATAATTTACCTTGATTCAACAATCGAGATGTGCATGGAAGAACTTGCATGAAAGGGGCAAGCTTTTGCTTCTCTGCAAGCAACTCTGCAATGTACCTAGAAAAGAATCACAATTAGTGAGCCCACACACATATGTAACAACAGAAAGTGGATGCTCATCAACTGAAATGTCGTATTGAATCATGGGGGGAGATCCCTTAGATTCAGGTCAAGTAGCTTCATGGATTTGTCCAACCTACCAGTTGATTTTGCAACTCAGTATTCATGAATCAAAGATTGGACTCAACAAAGTGGTGAGGTGCAGTCTAAATGATCAAGCTTCCTCGTTCAATGTTTCAGCTGGACAAGATTGTTTGATTGTGACACCAACCAAACATCAATAGTTCATATCAACTACAATCTATTAAGGAAACACCAGGAAATCAGCTGAAATCGCAAGGATCAGTTCACTAATGCTCAGTAACTTCACTCTTACCAATCCCCCAAAAAACAAAAGATCCATGTTTCAATTCCAATCAGAAAAACTCATCTGAAACCAACAAACCTCTCCCAGTCTCAATGCCAACGCAGCCATCAAATCAAAAGCCTAAAATCATAATTTAGTGAATATATTTTCAAGATTCATGTACTATAAAAGTTCTTCACTTCTCAATCTATATAAACGAGCCTTAGAGTTGTAGACATGGCAAAAGTCCAACTCGATGACCAAGTCCTTCACTCCACAATCTATAAACAAGTCTTAGACATGCCAGAAGTCCAACTCGACGACCACAGTTATTGAGCCACCATCTCGCACCTTGATCCTCTAAAATCCACTGGAATTGGGGCCATCAGAAATCTTTAGCACAACGAACAGTCATTCAGTCAATCAAATCCCAAGCCAAAATAAACCAGACAGGGATCACCAATCGACTCCAAGGTCCATTTTTTTAGAATATCCGACCACAGAATCACCAAACAGGCCCTAATCACGGTACTAGAACAAAAAAAAAAGTATATATCGCAGCAATGAGCAGGAAGGGCAGTGGATAAATCAGGGCGAGAGGGCTCAGAGGCCAGGCGTACTTCTCATGGTCGGCAAGGGGGAGGTGAGGGGAGTGCGGGCCGGTGGATGGCAACGGCGAGTAGGACATGTAGCGGCTGCCGCAAGACATGGTCACCGCCGGACTGGGAGCAGAATCTATCCGGGGAGAGTACGAGCAGATTTTTCTTTTTTTCACGAGGAAAACCTGCGAAATGCTGATTGGTGCCCAATTATATCGACCCTAATGCGCATGTGCACTCTGAAAGTTCAGAAATCACACATATATCCTTTCAGAAACAAATTTGGTCCTTTTTTTATTCTTTTTGAACAAAGGCACAAAGATTTTTCTAGTTGTCTATAAGCGTTCCAACTAGCATCTAGAATTTTCAAGCATTTTGGAAATTTCTTGCTAATAATTTTTTGTGTTATTGGCAAAGAACAAGTGGATGTGGGTATTATTAATTAATCCTTATTAACAGTATGATTCTAATACTCTCCTAGATTTGTCTTAGCCGGTTCAAAGTGCATGCTTAAATGTTTGGATGTTGTAGTGTTTAAAACCCATAGTATGATGAAACTATAGTTTTAGAACCATTAATGTGCAAAACTATGGTTTAGAAAAAAGAGGTCTAGAGTGGAATTTTCAAAACTCTAAAAAGGCTATAGTTTCAGCAATATCATGGTATTCAAAATCATAAAGTTTGTTGCACCCAAATATTTCATGGCACTCTAAAACCAAAGTATTTTACATCCAGGGCCTAAAGCTTATCAAACCTCGGTTTTGAGTCAAGCCGAAAAAATATTGCGCCAAAATATTTGGCCCAAACCTGACACCGAGTCATGTCGAGCTATTTCTGTTACTTTAGATCTTTTTTTTAGGGTTTGGATCAAGTCATGAGTCAAAAAAGTATAACTCAGAGGCTGACCCAACACATCAGTGGGTCAGTGTCATGGGTTTAATTCCACGACAGTAATCTAATGATCCAGACATGGGTGGATGCATAAGTCCTCAGTGGTTTCAGTAACAACTTGATCTCGAACGAAATGGAAGTCAATGGCAATGTGCTTCATACTAGAATGTTTAGCACTACTTTCACCGTATTCTCAACGCTTATCCTGTCCACCAATATGGTCTACTAAAATAAATGCTCCATTTGCCATTTTGTGAAGAGAGATGTGGAGCTATAAAATAAACATATGAAGGTTGTCGGTGTTTTGAGAACCAACGAGTAAATTTAGCGCCGCGCTGCTCAAGGGATCCATGGCTGGCACTCGAGACACAAGGAATTATACTAGTTCAGGAGGAAGCCCTATGTCCAGTGCCAGAGACTACAAGTACATATTCCTCAGTTCAAGTGCTCCAAATAGCTTACAGCAGGGGGTATGCAATAGGGTTCTACGGATAGAAAGCTAGAGGTAGGGGAAATCGATCTCACTAGGAAGAAGACCCGACTCCCCTTATATAGCCGTGGGGGCCAAGTTACATGTAGAGATGAAGGGTTCTCCCGGCCTGAGTGGTTGGAAGCCCGAGGGGAGGGAGAACTAGTAAGCTTGGGCTGCAATCCACCTGTCTTGTCCTCGCTTCTATACGCACGTCCTGGTTTGGTCGTCAGGATCTTGTTCCCCACGCCAAGAAGGCTTGGTGTGCCATGACGGCAATGTGAAAGGTCCTAAATAGCTAGAGGGGATGAATAGCCTAATTAAAACGTCTACAAACCACTAGAGCAAATTGTTAGTCTATTAAATAGCGAAGTTTTTTACTCTAGCTCTACTCAAATAGCAAGCTGTCTATCCAAGTAATTCTAGTGAATTATGATCGCTATGGCACACAAGTGGCTATGTCACTACCTCTACACTAGTTGAGCTAGCTAAGTTACTTAACTAACTAAACATCTAACTAGCTACTCAACTAACTAGCTAAGTGTAACAACCTAGGTTTTCGAGCATCCAAAAATACAAGCTTTTTAATTTTTTTCCTGCAATGTGTGAAGCATGTAGCTTCTAGGCCAACCTAAGTCAAACCCACTAATAAATAGGTGCATCATATAGAATTGTTTGTAGGAGAGTGCCTGTGTTCTTGAGTTGGTTTGAGTTGAGTTTTGTTTGGAGTTTGGAGTGCACAAATCCGTAGCAAGAATTCCTCTCAATCTCCTTTGAATTCTCCTCAAATCTCTTTTGAATTCCATCTCAAAGTTCCTTGATTCTTAAAAGGAAAAATCCTGTTCTTTTTCCTCCCCATCTAGCCTAGCTGGCCCACTCACCTCTCTCCCTTCTCCTCTTCCCATGGCCCAACTCCCCTCCCCTTTCTCTTTTCCCGCTGGCCTAATCGGTAGCCCAAGCCGCCACCTGGGCCTCAGCCTCACCATCCTGAGCGGCTTAGCTCGCCCCTCCCTTCCTTCCGCTCAACCCATGCAGCTAGCAGCACGCGTAGCCCGCTAGCGTGCCGTGGCCCTCATAGGCCCACGCGTTGGCCCCCATCGGCCCATCCACCAGCCCCCACGGGCCCATACGCGCGCCCCCTGGGATGAAACCCTAGGCGTGACCGCACGCTCCCGAGCGTTCCTAGAGCCGCCGCCATTTTCGTGCACTCGCGTCGCACCTCAGTGCCTCAACGTCCTATCGTAAGCAGCCGTGTCCGCCACAGAACCCTAGCTCACCGCTATAAATGTCGTAGTCAGCCACCTTCCTCGAGCTCCCTCTAGGCCGCCACCGCTCCACCTCGCGCCTCCCCTTCTTCCTCCAGCCGGCCATGGCCACCGCTCCGCCCACTGCTGTGGCCACAGCCAGCTAGTGCGCCACCCTCGCCTCTGTCCACCTCCACCGCAACGCCGCCCGGTGCCCGCCGTGCCATGCCACCGAGCCAACATCGTGCGTCGCCGGTCTCCTTTGCTGCGTGGACGCACCCGAGCAACTATGCCCTTCCTCGAAGCACGACGACCTTGCCCCATCGGCCTCCATGTTCACCACCTCTTCCTTGACTCCGTCCATCTTGGCCTCACCCTGAGCCCATGACATCGTGCACCTCTCCATCCGTGCTGCCTTTGACCTTGTCTACGGCCACACCTCCTCAACCACACCGACCTTGTTCCCCACCATAACCATGGCGCCGTCTTCTTCCATGGACCGCGATGTCGTCGACACCTATCCTTGCCACAAAGCTGCACCATGACCTAGAGCAGCAAGCTTCGTCATGCTCCTCCTCGCCGACACCGTGCCTCACCACCACAGTGTTGTCCTCTGCGACCTTGCCGAGCAGGAGCTCCACCACCGTGTCCACCTCTTCTTCCTCGCGCGGGACCCAACGCAGTCCACATCGCGCCCTACCTCTACCTCACTAGACCGGCTCCCCTACTCCGAGCCCAGCACATCACGCCTCATCCTCTGTCCATGCCTCAACGGAGACCAGGGACGCCACCACCTCACCGGAGCCCTCCCCTAACGTCAGGAAGCCGCCACCACCTTCACTTTACCTTGTCGGAGCTTTTCCCCTGCTGTCGATGAGCTCCCAAGGCCAAGCTCCTTCCTTTTTCCTTCCTTGTCACTGTTCTCACCAGAGCCTAGCCTCTGTGCTGCCGTTCCTCGCTACTATAGGAAAGGAGCACCTCCACTTCTCGACCATGGTGTGCCTCTGCTCCATGCTGCCGTCCCGCAGCGCCTCTGCGACCTCCACCTTGGACGTTCGCCAGGAGCAGCAGCTGTCGGACGTCAACGCCTACCCTACTGTCGGCGACCACCTCCCTTTCATCTCGGGTGAGCCACCAGCAGCCTAAAGTCTCCTCCTTTTTCCCCTTCATGCCTTTACCCTTGTTGAACCAGCCTATGTGCCACTGTCCTACATCATCGTAGGGGAGCTACAACCCTGCTGCACCACCGCTCAGGAGCCGAACATCACTACTGACCTCGCCGGACCCCTTCCTTGATGCTGGAGCTATGTCTAGCCACCTCCAGCAGGCCGTAGCAAGCAGCAGCAAACCTCCGACCAGTCGCAGCAAGCCATAGCTGGCTAGCAGCTAGCCGTAGCCTACCGGAGCGCGCCGCAGCAGACCTTCGCCTTCTTCACCACCAAGGTCGAGCCCTTGAACCCCGTCGTCGCCATCCTCGATGTCGACAAAACTCTTTCTCTTCATTTCTTTTCACATACTCATTTATATACTTGTCATATACATGACCTATCTCTATATTTATGCCTGTGTCGTGCCTTCGCGCCGGTCTATCTCTTGTGTTATGGATATGTGCTACTCTGTCTAGTCGTCGTGTCGGTTTAGCTCTTGATCTTGTGTAGTTGTGTTGCCAGTTGTGTGTCGTTTGTCATCGTCGAGGGACCATGCCTTCGAGCCGATCGAGAGATCGTACTTCATTTGATCGTTTCAGTTGTGGGTTTATACCGCCATGCTCGTAACACCGAGTGTAACTCGACCCCTCATTTTTAGTTGACTTTGTAGTGCCATGATCGTTGGCCCCTCCTACGGCTCAAGGACATGGCCACCATGGACTCGATATCGGTGTGCCTCCTACCTGCACATGATGAGCCCATCATGACCTAGTCTATAGGAGACGAACTAGGGGACAACCATTATGGGACTTATGGAAGCCAACTCATTTAGGTAAAGCTCATGGCCACGAGATTTCTCGCCATGACCATCGGGCTTTACCTCTTTTGCTCGCTTGTTTATCCTAACCACCTCATATGCTTGTACCACATTGACCATAGCGTTCCTTCGGATCTGATGAGTACAGGCCCGATCTTCCGAGAGGTAGCCGGTAAGTTCGATTTGTGGAGATCTCGACATTGGTGATCCGACTTCAAATCAGACGCGATTCGAACCCTGCAACCGTTACACCACTGCTCCGTTGGTTATCAACCAAGCACAACTTGATTGACCTCACCAAGAAGGCTTTTCCTGCAAGCGAATCGAAGAGCACAAGCAAGAAGGTAAAACTCGTAATCTGAAATTACAAATATGAATGACGCGAATATCAATAGAGGATTCAAGAACTCGGTTCCAAAGGATTAATCGACACAGTGGAGGAGATCAAGAATGGGGGCCCTGGATCACTGTAAAAGGATTTGTCACCACAGTTACGATGAACGATTCAGTTTCTCAATGGAAAACTAAACTCTAAACAAAA